CTGTTTTTTCGACAGGTCATGCAAAGCTGGTTGAAATACCAGCTACGCCCTCCAGAAAATAGCATACAAGTTAAACAGCAACTTCTTTGCCTGAACTCACATATTTGTATAAGTAGGCTAACTTTTTTCATCTCAGCTTTCTTCAACAAAAACGTTCTCTTTGTAAATGATATTATTGATGCTGAAAATAATTTCTTATCTTTTGATAATTTTGTACTTAAATTTGGAGATGTATGTACAGCTTATCAATATCATCAACTTTTGTCAGCTATACCTACTCATTGGAAACATCTTATAAGACAAGACTCATCAGAGCTACGTGGCAAAAGGTGTATAGCCTACCTTACAAAATTTCAATTGACTCAAGTTCTCGCATGTTCCAACATAAATTATTGTTCTAATATTTGACCGTTAACAAAACTCTGTACACTTGGAAGTTGGTGGAGTCGCCCTTATGTAGTTACTGTAATGAAGATGAAGAAACAGTCTTCCATCTTTTTTTACCTTCGCCAAGAAGGTTATGTTTTCAGTAGCGTTTGTCTGTCTGTTTGTGAACAGCATAACTCAAGAAGATTAGTATGCATTGTCATGAAAGTTGGTAGGTGGGTAGGTCTTGATGAGACCTAGAAATGATTAGATTTTGGGCCCCCTGGCGGCTTTTGTTGGTACTGCAGCAGAACTTCCGGTTTTGATATCTCGCGATCTGGACATGCTAGGGTCACGAATTTTAGTTGGTAGATAGCTCTTGGGGTAGGGAAGAAGTGACATGAGTTTGGGCCCCCTAGCGGCTTGTTCTGGAACTGCAGGAGCATTTGTTGAAAAATTTTCGAAGGATGATAACTCAAGAACCGGTTGACGGATTGTCGTGATTTTTGGTATGTAGGTAGCTGAAGGGATGCTTGACATAATCAAATGACAGTTGTGCAAATCAGGAGCTAATTTGCATGATTAATGAGGAAATTCTATAAATCTGCTTTGTTCGATAATAGGACTATGAAACACTTGTGACATGTAATTGAGAATTAAAAAGAAACATCTGAGGATAAAGACTATGTAAATGAAGACCTAATTTGCATAATTAATGGCAATTTTTTTTTTATTTCATAGTTGTAACTACTGGGAATTTCATACTTGCCACATTTGGAAGTTAAGTGAAGGCGAACATCAATAAACATAATTTATTCAAATAATGACCTCATTTGCATAATTTATGAGGAAGTGCTATAATAGCCTTTTTGTTAAGATAAGACTGTCATTGGGTGGAGAATATGATCAACTGATATAACCCATGCAAATGAGGATCTTATTTGCAAAATCAATTATCAAAATTGTATAATATTTCAACCGCAAGGGTTAACATCATTTGGCGAAGGTATGAGATCGTGGAACTCTTGTTTCATTGTAAAGTTGTTACAAATTTTTGGATACAAGTGGAAGACTGGTTTTTCAACAATACTAGGGAACGTTTAAATCTGGATCTTTTTAAGGTTATTTTCGGTGATTTAAATGGTCGGTGTTCAGCTTCTTCAAATTTAATAATCCTCCTATGTAAGCAATTCATCTTTAAAAACCGTCAATTCTCTCTCAACCCGCAAGCTTTCATCTCATACGTATCATACTTTCATAGATTAGAACATATTATAGCAAAAAGGATGGATAAAATAAAATAAAAACATAGGTAAATGGGGAAAAATAGCTGAAACGCTGAAAACATTGTAGAGAACACTTTTGTCTGTTATTCAAATATGTAACCATTATTCATTGTTTTCTGGTTTTATTTATCTTTTTCGGTGTTCTACATGTCCCTTCAGTATAAGTTTCTTCTGTGTGTGTATCTTATGTTTGTGAAAATCAATAAAAAGAATGATTATAAAAAAAAGGACAGCCATGTTCATCAGTACGCACATTACAATAGTACAGATAGTATATTCGTAACTTGTACAAAAAAAAACGGATTTACAATAAAGCTGTACACATCTGAAGTAACACGGATAGATAAAAAAAACGTACCATACTGTGTCCCTTGGCGTCCGTGTAGCTGGCTAGTGACTCCCACCTCTCCAGTGCCGAGTCATCCCTCCAGTACTCGGAGGGAATCCCTTCTGATTCCATACTGAAATCTGACGGCATATATATAACAAGTTATAGGCATGGGTATAGCAACATGTCCATTTCTTGTGCCTGTTGCTATGTTGCTATGGTATGTGAAAGGCTGAGAGTTTACGGAGTTTCCACTGGTTTGTGTTACTTACAAATTATGCAAACCCTAAAAGCTTTAATGTTTTTACCCTCTGTCGAGTTACGCTATGTTATATAAACAATCATCATTTTAGACACATGAAGCTGACTTACCGGCTTGTTTTGATTATCAATATTCCAAGGTAACCTTGAAGAAATTTCTTCCTATGGCAAATCCTCGAAAACGTAGATTTATCTCAATAGTTCGCTTGTTATAAGAACCTGACATAAGAGGCGTCTAACAAACGTGCTGTCTCTACGGAGTAGATAACAACAATGGCGGGGGTATCCGGGGACAACGAATTGTCGAACTTTAGAACGTCACAATTTCGAACACAAACGACGAACGCTCGTACGGCGAGCACCGCCTTGCGGCGGGGGAAGGCAGTGCAACGCCGTGCCTTGTGTGTGATCGTGTTTTGTACTAATGTCCTGCTTATAACACCCTGTAATTTGATGACAACTGGTATTTGACAACATGAAAAAACGTTTCGGCTCTTACTATTCTGTCATACTACTGGGCTGTGTAAGATTGCACACTGTCCTATCTGAAGAGTGCTTTAAAAGGGGAAGTTGTGAATGACCTATCACCGTTTAGCTGCGGCCATTTTGAAGAACAGCGAGATACAACGACTAGTCTGTCACCGGGGTCGTTTCTCTAGCTTGAAAAAAAGACGAGACCAACAACCAAGTAAAATAGTCCGTTTTATTGTCCTCCAAGAGGAACCGAAGTATATGATCAACTATAGAGAAACGTATAGTCTCTGCACTGTCGTGTTTTGACCTGATATGACCCACTAAAGTTTTAACATCTTTACTTCACAGAACAAACAAGGAACTGACACCATTTACAACCTTGGCTTCTACACAATCTGTTTGTTCAAGTAGTATTTCTCGACTGTATACACGGTGCTTAACAAACACCCTTTTTCCATTAAATATGAATTCGAGTGATGTATTTGTAAATAGCGATAGGACAATTTTGAAACAGAAAAATTGAAAATTCTTCTTTTTTTGTTTGATCATTCGTAGTCAATTGCAAGTATTAGGTTTTTCCTATCAGTGCAGTCAGAGTAAACCAAGTGTTGTACTCTTATTCCACATATGGGCACGATAATATTAATGTATCGTATTGAAATGCACAATTATATCAAAAGAATCATCTACATGTGTGTGGTATAGTACCAGTCATTTGTTAACCAGCGTTGAACACGTTCGCGTTTACATTTCTCCAGTTCTAGAACACAATTAGCGATTTCTGTACACTTGGTCAGGTATTCACTCAAAGACACTGCTGTGGTCTTACGACGTTTCCCGTCAATATGCTTCATGAGGTAAGCGTTAAATTTCAAAACTCGGACAACGAACGATTTCTTGGCGACGCCTCACGAGCGGAGCCATATTTGTACATGTACATGCCATCTCGGTAACGCCACGCAAACACCCATCTGTCAACAACAATCGTGTTTCAGTACACCAACTCTTCACGCATAAATTTCCCAAACACCATGGACACAATCATACAATGTTTTTTAACATATATTACAAATTGACAATTTAATATAATACTCTTTTACAGTGATACTGACGACGTTTGGACCTTAATGAACAATAAGAAATGACATAAAGACATAGAGCTGATGATTTTTTTTGTGCTGGTATGGTCGCTGATCACTCACAAGTATTCACTATATACAAATTACATTCCGGAATCCAACATTCGCTTACTGTACAGTACATGTATATGGCCTCAAGATTACATGGTCACGGCCGCAACATTCGTGTGTTTGTCACATTTCGACGGCCTCAAAGTAGTGATACGTGTACATGTATATAATAAGTGGATATTTTTGTACATTATACAGTCTAGTGTAATTCTACACTAATTCGATAGGAGCATTGAGTCACCATCTTCACATGATAACTTGTCTTGAGGCACAATTTTTCTAAAAAAGACACTACCATCTGGGTTAAAGACTATGAGATAGTAATTTGCTCCTACCCACCAAATGTCTTTACAGAGAGACTGTTCCAATGACATAAAATCGATTGGTTCACAACAGATGTACATACAAACGTGACGTAATGATAATGTGATTACAACGAAATTCCCTTTCTGACACGTCATCTTCCAGGGTCATATCATTGGAGTCTTCGTTTACGCATGTACATGGTAGTCGATGGAGACTTCAATAGGAACGACTAGGTCTTAAAATTATACACAGTTTTAGTGAGCTTTCTTTTTCTTCAACTATAGCAATATCATTTCCTGAAATGATGCACTTGCCATCGTCTCAGATGTCAATTTTACATGGATCAAAGGCGACAACTATCAGTCCGTTGCAGTACTGCAGAAGGATGGCGATGGAATGCTATCATCTGAGACTGCAGGGTCGTGTTTTACAGGAACACTCTTACACTACATCAGAAAAACTGTACATCGTCTACACAAGTGCATCGAGCACACGCATCATGATTGTTGACCCGCACACAATACACCAGTAGGAGCTCTGTGTGGTTCCTCGGATAAACAGTCAACTAGTTACAGACACACATTTACAGGTATACTGTATAAACATTAAAGTCTATGGACAATCTCTGTACAGTACAAAGCCAACCTGTTTTCAGTCGCAAAATCTTCACTCTGCACCTCCTTTATATACATAGTACTGTTACAATGTCATCGCAATGCTCAACAAAGATCTTATACTAGCATACGGTTTCGACACTGTAGAAAGGAGGGTGGGTCACTCTACTAGGTGAGTTGGTCACTCTGCTCGGTGGGTTTTCTACAACTTGGTCCGACTGCAACTGTGGAAGGGATCTGGAGTTTTCTGTCCCGAACACCGTTCCGTTAGGCACAGGAACAACTTTTTCCTCGATCAACCAGTAAGTCTTCATTGGATGCGGCCGCCCCTGGTACACAACATATAAGAAGTCGGTTATACATAAAACATCTTTTAGCAGCAGTAGACTATAGTCTGGTTACCAAACCTATTATTATAAATAGCTCCCGAGTCCTACATCCTTTATCAATTCAATTCAATTCTTTATTTCATACCAACGTTACAGACATACAAAAAATGTGTTGCCTGAATGGCATTGGTATTTACAGCAATAACAGCAAGATAAGGTACATAACATATATTACACATATATACATACTATTAAAATATATACATTAAATCAACAGGGCATCCCAGATATGACACGTTTACACAGTCTGGTTGTATAGTCTGATAGACTGATGTAGGAACGAGTTCTGGAGTCTTTTGTTCTGGCTGGGGGGATGGATATAGTGTTCTTGTTCCTAAGAGAGCGTCCAGTGGCGTTAGCTCTAGAGACAGGGACGAGGTCGTGTAGGGGTGGTTCTCCT